ATTAATTTGTTTTAAAGTTAAATTACTTGAATGCATTTGGTAAACTGAAGTTTTTATTGTTTATCATATTCTTTAGATAATCTTAGATACCATCTTCTATTAGGATTAATGAAATTTTGTGGAGATTTTCCATTTAAAGTATTGGTTTTTTTATTAAAAAAATAAAATAAAATTAAATGGGGCGGAGCCCTTGTTACCAATACTCGCCTCGAGGCGGAATTTCCTTCACTATACATGACTCAATTACCCGATTAAGCAGGCAATCCCTCCCCTATACGAGGCGGGGCTACAGGTATCGAATTTGATAGGTATTTTTGTCATTTCTATTCAAGAGAGAATTTCTACTTGAAAAGTGGGGTAATTTTTCCAACCCAGACACAATTAACTCGGAAATTTCTAGATGATTAAGATGGACTAAATTAATTTTTAGCTATAATTAAAATTCACTGAAGACCACATAATCTAAGCCATTGTTGGTGATTGTTTATAAATTATTCATAATGGATTAAATCATTTTTTACACACAAATTATGTGGAACTCACAAGTACTTCTTACTTATCCATGGTTCATTTTTGTATATTTATAATTTAAACTATTTGTAAACAACTCCCAAAAAATGATTATTTTTATGTTGACCATGATAGTAAGAGGAAGATTATACAAACATCAATCGTAGTTGAAGTTTTAGGCCACTCTTTTTACATAAAGCGTGGTGATAAGAAATACATAAAATTTATAAACGGAAAGAAAAAGAAGAATTCGGAGATCAAATCAATATCCTCTTCAAATTTACTAAAAATGGTATCCTTTATTATTAAACGTACATTTACATAATGATCTTTATTGACACAAACTACACCAATTTATCTAATATGCAAATCACAGTAATAAAAATCTATCGGGAACATATTTATTAAGTACAAATAACATAAAAGTGTAGAATTTAGTTTCCCCGTGAATCTTATTTCCCATTTTTGTTCCACCATGAGTAGAGGGGCGGAATACTCTGTTCATTCCGGAAGAAATTAGCAGGATCAACTTTGGTTTTCACATGAACCAATCTGTTGAAATTATTCTTGAAATATTTGATCCCCCAAATGCTGGCTTGTGCATAGCTTGTGTTGCCCTTGTTATTAACTCCAATATCAAGATCTCTATAGTTGATATATGCAGCTCTTGGAAATCTTGAAACATAAGGAGCCATGTAACTGTAAAGCTTTCTAATCCAATTTATATACTTATCTGATGCCTCTATCTCTTCTTGTTCCCAAGACACCAAGTGGTGGATTTTGTACAAATTACCAGCTCTGTGAGGAAAGGGAATTGCAGAATCTGAAATTTCCTCCATTCTTCCACCATATGGACT